ATTCTAAAGCAACTTTTTTGTGTCAACAGTAAAACTCAGCAAGGTTTGAATCAAACAGTGGCAAATGTTCCCTAAAGATAACACAGTTATAAGTTTAAATTGATAGGAATTTTTTGATAGAAATTATTCTAGTAGTGTTATGATTCACCGGTGCACCGATGCATCGCAGTACATGTATTCACTTTGACGATCTACTGATCGATTCATCTAATTTAGTATTACAATACCTGACCTCACTTTTTTTCAATTTCCAAAAATGTCCGGGCTTTAGAATTAAAAATTTTCAGTCCTTTAGTCTGTATATTCAAGACATTGAAACAATCAGAAATAAAGTACAAACTTGTTGGTGATACAGAATTCAAAATATAAGTGTCAAAATGGATTCAGACACGCCGGATTATGTTAAATCAACAAAATTTGATGGCAGTAAGTTTGGTTTTTGTTGAATTGGTTTATTTGATAATCTGCTACATGTATGTTCAAAATTTAATATTCTAAAAATAATTATCTGGTTTTATTTGGTTTTAAATGTATTGTGATATATGTATCATATCGCACCTGTGATATCATGATGTGTATCGGATCGGCTAAGTTCATTATAGTCCCAGCCCTAAATTATTCGGAATCAAAAGAATCAATATCTGTACATGCTATAAATCACATTTTATCCAAAGAAATTTTACTTTTTAAAATTATTTATTTACAGAAATTTCTGATCAAAATTATATATATTAATTAGGGTTGTTAATTTCTAATTGATAAATCGGTAGGAACAATGGCAATCGGTTAGAAAATCTGTAATCAATTAGTAGGAAATAAATAAAATTTATATAAGATAAAACACATTTGTATAAAAAAGAATTTTATACAGTGCTCCAAGTCACACTTGCTCTCAGGTCGCAAAATGGCGACCTAAAAAATTTTTTTGGTCGCCATTTCAGAATTTCTGGTCGCCATAAGCAAATATTTCACTCGCCATAAAAAAAATACATTTTGTGAATAAAACTTGATAATTTAAATAAGGATATGTATTATGTCTTTATTATATCATAGATTACTTATTACTGTGACTATAAAAAGAATGGGTGGACTTAACTGGCCAGAAAAAAATGCCGTAAATTTAAGTTTCATAAAATGTTTATTTTTTTCCATCATATAAACCCACGATATCTTAACCGTGTATTCATAGTACGGATGTGAATGTAAAACGCTCTTTTCGAGGTAAACAAAATAAATATCGAAGGCATGGTACCTGAAGATTTCTTGAATATCAATAGATAATCAGGGTCACGCGTTTTTCATCGTCTGAATACATAGTCAGCACATGTTTGTCGGCTGTTCTTAAGAAAGATGGAGTTGTATATTGAACAAAATAATGTTATATTAAAAGGAGAAGAGCCGACAAAGGTGCGCTGACACTTAATTTAACTAAAAACATGTTCTGAACAAACTTTTGGCTTCCATTGTTATGTCTTCGATTGACCTAATAAATATGACAATTCATCACGTGATGTCCACCTGCGAGTGTACTCGTGAAAACAGTTACATTGTATTCTTCAACCTGACACAAATCTAAATCATGTCCTTTGGCTTGTTTTCTTACCGTTTTCAGAATTAAAAAAATTGAATATTGTTTTAATTTTTAGTTGTCATCAATTTTTTAAAATAATATCTTACTGATTTATACTGTAATATGCTAAACACTATTCGAATTTTTGGAGAGAGAGAGAGGGATAGAGAGAGATGTCAACAATGACGCCGATCGATAGCCCTGCCTCCTATAAATATTGATTGTGTGACATAAAAACCACTTCGGGTACATGTCGAATTCCGGAAGATGACACTCATGTATCGTTGCTTCAATTTTGATACATGGCAACAAGACATTGTTCTTGCACAAGTGTTCCACCTAATATAACCAAGTAAATGTAGCTTTTTCCATTACTCGTAATATATTTTGGATTCACTTCATTTTCAGCTTGATAGAGGAGTCGCAAAAGGATCCAAAATAGTACGTTAAGTCCACCCATTCTTTGCTAGGTTGAATGAAATAATTTTATTGAATACATGTACCCTTATGGTTGTACAGAAGAACACAAGTAATCTGATTACAAAAAAAAATTATCAAATAAAAATACAAGCTTGACAGCTGTTGACACAGGACTTTGCCGGCTGTTTGTCATGTTTACTTTACTACTACGTACCTAACCCATTTCACAGTCATTATAAATGCCGCCAAAACACTCTTTATTAGCATGATAATACAATCATGATTCACTGTGATATGCAAGCAATTTGTAACGAGTAAAGTCAAGTTCTTTTTTTACAGTTCTTTTATTTTAATTAAATTTTTAAATTGGCAATGAGCTACAAACAAACAAAAATATATGCACACATAACCAATAGAACACACAAACAAAAATAAAATAATTAATCAGCATATCAAGTTAAATTCAAACAAACACATACCATGCACCAAAATATGGCGATTCCACACCCAGTCACTCATACATGAAATGTTTTACACTGCGTATGTGGTGTCTACATCGAAATAAACAATATACCGGTATTTATTATATATACGATAAAAGGATATAATATTTAGTATAATTCAAGTTAAATAAAACACAAGATTAACAACTTTCTTACCGTAACACGCATCACAACTCGAACACGTTCCGTTCATAAACAGGGGCGTCAGCAGAGTATAAATAAATTACTTGATAAACCAGTTTAAATCTTAGAGATTTACTCAACAAAATAATAATTTTTTAAATTCAAATCACTCCACTGAAAATTAATAAAAAATAGATAACAACTACATTAATAGTCAAATAGAATTTTTATAACGTTTTTAATAATATAATCTCTAAATAAAATTAAATATCAAGCGCAAGAACAGAAACTCTTTAAGTAGATTGTCGGTAAATAAACTATGGTGCGCGTTTCGCGTTTTTTTAATATGCGCAAAATCAACCATTACAAATTGATCAAATGCCTCAATAACTTAAAAAGTGTACGAAGTTTGGATGCCATTCTGTCAGGAACATTATTTGTCTATGTGTCTGGTTCTATCAAACTTTGTACAGCATGCCAATCTGTCACAACATTACATGATCTAAGTCCATGCAATGCTGTGTAAAGTGTATTTAAGTATATGTCTTCAAACATTTTTTTTAATCGGATAGAGAATCTTTACAAATGAAATCTCGATTCGATCTTAAAAATTGGATGTTTCCAGCCCAAATTTTCTCAGTCGCGAAAATGCGAGTGTTTTCATTTCTAGTCGCAAAATCAATTTTTTGATCTCAAATGCGACCATTTTAGCCGCAACTCGGAGCACTGATATACAACATGTACAAAGGTCGTTAATTTAGCCTTAAGTTAAACATCTTTTTAAGTCATTTAAGAGGTAAATATGACACTCTGGATTGAGACCATTTGTGAAATTGGTCGATTTGTGTAGTCTTTATTATTGTGAAAACATCGTGTTGGTACCCAACTGTTCTGAGGTGCACGCAGTAAATTTATAAGCGAGGTTAAACCGGATGCCCTGATCATACGCCAGGCTACGCATGCGCAAGAATGCTTGAGAGTTCCGATCGGCAATCCTCGGCGGACTTCGCTATACCAATCGGCTTTTCCGAATAGCTTCATGACCTTTGAAAGAAACACCAGAGATGATGCGTTTGAGAGTTCATTGGTGGATCCAAATTTCTAATGTATACACATAACTAAGCATTCATTCTATGGCACAAGCATTCTAAAAAGTAGGAAGAATTTGCGGTATATACTATATAAGATACCTTAACAACTTGAATTAAAAAGTTCATTCAACGACTAGTTCTAGGCTTTAAAAGATAGAACTTACAAGTCTCCACCTGCATTAGTTTTGTGCATCAAGGCTCGCAAAATAATTTGATATATAGGAATCCAAATACAGCTTGATACAAGTATGTAGCAACAGTTTTCCATGTGAGGGAGGGGGGGGCTCCGAAAACAAAATCTGCGTACTATAGAGCTGTGCTACACGTGTACACTCAGATCTATTTTTCCATTGATATATCTCTTCTGAATAAATCTAGAATATACTTGTGTTTGTAAAGTCCCAACCATTATGGGTTATATGTATCAAAATAGTTCAAAACAGTCAAAGTAGGCAGATTATTGTAGAAAATGTGAACGAACCTACATGAATATCCAATAAACTTAGAAATTTTCTTTAAGTAATTGAACTTTGGTTAGAAACACATGCATATGGTCAATGTATTGTAGTCCTTTTTATAGTGAATATTAGTGAGCACGATTATCTGTGTGTTTGTCATTTTAAGTTATCTATGTAAATTACTTTTTATTCGGAGAACTTTATTTTCGCGTAATTACGCGAGACAGTGTATTCGCGAAAATTTAATTCTCGCATATAATAGTATTCCTTATTAGAGCAATAATCACAATTCGTGAAAATTTTGTCTCGCTAATCTGGAGTCAATGACTATCTCGCGAAAATAAGGTGTCGCCAAAATTAAGTGATCTACGGTATTTATCAAAATTAATGAAATTACTTAACAAACATTGTAAATTACAGACTACAATTCAGAATTAGTTTTGATTTTAGTAACGGCATGAACAATGCAGAAAGAACTTAAAACCTGGCACTCTTAATTTTATCAATGATTTCTTATGCTTGTGCCATATGGTTTTCTATTTTCTTTCTTTTTCATCCATTGAAATTGAATTAAAAAATATAAACCTGTAGTTTGACTATGAATCAAGAAAAATGAAATGTCAGAAGCAGAATTCTATAAAATACATGTATGACTGAAATTTATTGCAATTCAAGTTTATTGCATTCTGTACTGAAACACTTTGACAAGTCCTTCCCGGTATCCGACCCACAGTGTAGACTTGTACAGTGATAATCTGAATGGAAGCTTCACTTCATTGTCTGTCAGTAAGAACTTCAGAAACTCCCCGTCAGGACTTAGCAGATGTATCTGTTTGTTGTAAGGGTCAGTAACAAGGATGTTACCGAGAGAGTCACAGGCTATGTCAGCTGGTCTAAACTCTATTGTCGGGTTCTGTCCACGGTAGACAGACTTTATACGACCAGAGGGAGACATAATCATTAGTTCAGCTGTAGTGACACTTTTACTGTTCACAACACATATATCACTGTTACTGTTTTGTGTGACTCTGCCTGGAAATGTAAACAGTCTGGTGTGACCGTCCTCCTGGTACTCATACTCATGGATGACGTCACCCGTCACTGTGATGTGTCTCACCAGACGTCTGCTGTGTGACTCTAATTTGTAAAGATCTGATCCATTATCTCTCAATGTGACCATTAGTCCACTGTCCACTGACTGACAGATTCCTACTGGTATCAGTGGATCTGTACTGGTGACTGTAGAGACAGATCCTGATGGTGACAGACAGCGGATAGACTTGTTACTGAAGTCAGTGAAATAAACATCACCGAAATCAGTCATGCACATGTCATTAGCTTTGATATTATATTTATGTTTTTTCTCGCCTTCTTTGTTTACTTGTTCAATGTTATCTGACCCTGATTGTGTTATGTAACACTGATCTTCACACAATGCCTCCAATATAAGTATTAATTCATTTCCATATTTAAATGAGTTTGTTTCAGTCAGACTGATATTGTTCAAATCTAGAATTTTTCCAATCATGTTCTCCACTACCTCATTGCAGATTTCTCCTTTACTGTATCTCACTGAATATTTACAGTCCTTTATATCAATGTCAGGGCCAGACAGTAATTGTTTCAGTTCTTTGTGGTTGTCAATCAAGCCGTAATCTGACATAGTATTGTTGTTTTCCTCTATAAACTTTACCATCTCTTCTATTTCTTTCTTCTTCTTGTCTAGCTCATATTTCACACTGTTCAGCTTTTTATTTTTTTCCTCCAGATTATCTCTCAGTCTTTGTTCATTATTTTTCCTGATTTCTGTCAGCCTGGCCATTATCTTATCAACATGCTTCTCAAGCTTTTTAATCTCCAAGTCGCACATTTCTTCATTTTCTGTCATCTGTTTTGAAACCTTCTTTATTTTCTCATCAATCCCAGATAGGTCCCCTTCCTTGATCTCCTTCAGAAATCGAAGCAAGCCTCTCCTTCTTTCGGTAGCTGCTGTGGATATAGTACTCCATTCGTGATCTCTATGATCTGTTTTGGCACACTTACCACAAATGAATTCATCACAATCCTCACATATCATATCAATAGGTAGATCGTGGGTTTTACACATTTCAATATGCTCTTGGGGAGAGCCCAGTGGATATTTGGGTTTACTGTCCGCCATGTTTGTTGGGTATCTCCTACCTGTGACCTAGATTTGAGGTAAAGTTAAGGTAGCTATACACTGTGAAGTGATTTGGACTTTAAACTGATATCATATTACATGATCTGCACAGTGAACAAACAGGTGTAAGTTAACAAGTCCTAATAAAAAGAGGTAGCTTTAAACTAAGTCAGTGCACTCATGTGTCCAGAGTTGGCGAAAGAGGTAAAAAATCTGTCTGACACATAAAATCACAAAAATTACAGGACACACTAAAAATTTGCCGGACTGAAAAAACAACAAAATGTAAAATTGAAATTGATTTCTAATTGGTGGAACTCTTTCTCAGTGGAGGAAGAAAATGTCTGTTGGATGGGGACAATATGCAAGTGAATACAATGCAAAATGGATCACTGTAGATTAGAAATAAATCCTGTTTAAATCTCTTGATAAACATTCGCTGACTCACTGTAATGAATTTTATAGAAGAGTTAGTCCTCATATGAAAACGTTATATTTTTTGATGATATTTTTCACTAAGCATGCTAAGGTCATTATTGAAATCCTTACTTTTGAAATCAAATAAAATACTCTAAACTTTCCTTATTTGACAATCGATTATCTGGAGTCCAACCCGTGACAATACATTGTAACAACAGCATGATTGTTCTAGTTCTTCTATTGTCACAACTGTAAACAATGTTTTGCTTGAGAATATGGCGCGAGATTTAGAGCTTTCTCGACTTCTCCACAAAAGAGCGATAGTAAGTTCGATAATAGCTGCAATAATGTAGCCCTCTCCGATTTTATTCACTGTCAACAGTAGACCCCGTTAAATGCGAAAAACTTGTAAAATAACTCTGCATGTTTCCTGGTAGTTTACTTCAGCAGCCATGACAGTTCACGCGTGACGTAATGGGACTTTCGCTTGAAATTTAGAACAACTGAATAAAGCAATTATCGGTGTTTATAAACGTATGTGCTGAATTTCATCACAAAAACATAGGTATATAAAACCATTTTAAGTGTTATTTTTATGCAAGCAGCGATATTTATGTTTAAAATAAGGGAATTCCAAAAAGATCCGCTCCTAAAGAACCTAAATTCTCATTGGCTGTCCCAAAATACAATCTATCAAGGTCAGTAAACATGGCGGATAAATTCGAGTTGTCATACACGAAAAATAAGCGATATAGGGATCGTTCTGTATATTTTTGCATTGGTTTACGTCTTGGATGACTACATATTTGGAGTCAAGGTAAGAAATGTTAATAAAATAGCCATTTACTGTTAAATTGAGCCGAAATCCGTGCGGGAGTAAATCACTCCCGCAGCTGCGCCATTAGAAAGATCAGAAGGAGTTGTAGCCCTCTCCCAAAAAAAAAAGTGAGAGGGCTACATTATTGCAGCTATTTCGATAACTGCCAGGTACTCGCCATACTACTACGTATTGCAATATCTAAATAATGTAAAATCTTACAGATTCAATTTCATGAAGTTTTAAGAAATAACGCGTTATGTAATTTCTTTTAATTATATTTATACCCCCCGCAAACGAAGTTTGGGGGGGGGGTATATAGGAATCACCTTGTCTGTCTGTCCGTCTGTCCGTCTGTCCCTCTGTCTGTCTGTCCGTCTGTCCGTCCGTCCGTCTGTCTGCAATCGTGTCCGGTCCATATCTTTCTTACAGAGAGACATTAGAATCTACTACTCCACACTAAGATTGCCCATGACCCAAGGTTGTGTCATGACCTTGACCCAAGGTCATTTGGGGCAGTTCAAGGTCACTTGAAGAAAAATTTCATAATTCGTGTCCGGTCCATATCTTTCTTATGGATAAACTTTGTAGGTTCTCATTTCACACAAAGATTGCCCGTGACCCAAGGATGTGTCATGACCTTGAACCAAGGTCATTTGGGAAAGTTCAAGGTCACTGGAAGAAAATTTTCATAAATCATGTTTGATGCATATCTTTTATAGATAAAATTGGTAGGTTCTCATTTCACACAAAGATTGCATATTACCCAAGGATGTATCATGACCTTGACCCAAGGTCATTTGGGAAAGTTCAAGGTCACTGGAAGAAAATTTTTTATAATCGCTGTCCGGTCCATATCTTTCTTATGGATAAACTTTGTAGGTTTTTTATTTCACACATAGATTGCCCATGACCCAAGGGTGTGTCATGACTTTGACCCAAGGTCATTTTTGGAAGTTCAAGGTCACTGGAAGAAAAATTTCATAATTCGTGTCCGGTCCATATCTTTCTTATTGATAAACTTGGTATGTTCTCATTTAACACAAAGATTGCCCTTGATCCAAGGGTGTGTCATGACCTTGACCGAAGGTCATTTGGAGAAGTTCAAGGTCACTGGTAGAAAAATTTCATAATTCGTGTCCGGTCCATATCTTTCTTATGGATAAACTTTGTAGGTTCTCATTTCACACAAAGATTGCCCATGACCCAAGGGTGTGTCATGACCTTGAACTAAGGTCATTTGGGAAAGTTCAAGGTCACTGATAGAAAAATTTCATAATTCGTGTCCGGTCCATATCTTTCTTATGGATAAACTTGGTAGGTTCTCATTTCACTGAAAGATTGCACATGACCCATGGGTGTGTCATGAGCTTGACCCAAGGCTATTTGGGGAAGTTCAAGGTCACTGGAATAAAGATTTCATAATTCGTTTCTGATACATATCTTTATTATGGAAATACTTACTTCTGAAAAACCCAGCGGGGGGTATTTTGTCCCGTTTGGACAGTTTTAGTTTACTATTGATTATTCTGAATTATCTACCGGACACGGTGTCCGGCGTGGTTCTAGAAACTATCGGACTCAGACCAAATTTACCGGAGATCGCCGGTGGGCCGGCGTCTTTCGCCATCTCTGTGTGTCACTAAATTAAATTTTGAAAATATATCTAGCTTATTGTGCATTAGTACTGAGGTATGCATTTTCTCTGGCAAAAGGGGTTTTGGTTCCCTTCTAAAATTTTTGGGAATAATGCCACTGACCGCGCTTTCCAGCAGGACCATTAGAAGAAAGGAAAGAATAAAACTTTCATGCTGCATGTCATTTTCAAAAACAAGAGGCCCATAGGCCAATCTGTTCACCTGAGTCAATATGACCCTGCTGTTCTTTAACAACAGATTTTTTTTTCTCTTATGGTATATTCCTATGTATTACCGGTATATTGCTAAGAAACAGGAGGCCTATGGACCACAATGCTCACCCAAGTCAATATTGCTTTTCTGTTCTTCGTTAACAGATTTTCCCCTATGTTATTCTTCTTAATCATCGAGTCATTGGAGGGTAAGAAAGTAGCATTGGTAAAAGAAGACCATGTTGCTGATACACCCCTCCCACATAATGAGGCGGGTCAGAACAATCCCAAGACAGGGAGATAACTCTTGAGACTACTTGACCTGCTACAGTTTATTTCTCTACTATCAGTGTATATCTTCTTATTGAGTAACGTACAATTCTGAGAAAGAAATCCTCGCCTTCATAACCTCTGTGGCAAATAATTTTCTTGACTTTGGTTTTAATTTGCAAACTTATACATGTAAAAGAAAGTTTCTTTCTTGTAGGTTGAAGTAAATGGACAGACAAAAACTAAAGATACAATTAATACAGATATACAAAGTGGCAATAAATTGAAACGGGATAAAAAGTAAGTGGAAATTTATTTAAGTGCATTCCTAAGTCTTGAATTATATAGTCATAAACCAGTAATGTTTTACTTTTGAAGATTAAAATTTTTTTTTATTTTGTTCAGTATATTAGTATAAATTTAACCCTAAAATTTCTTTTTCCTTTATTTTTAGACCTGCCAATTCATCTTCATCGGATGATGCAGTTAGTGTACGTGTAGACATATCTAATTTTCAATGAATTTTAAATATACATGTTTTAACAAAATAACATATATAACAAAGTTTTGAATAAAATTTAGACATTTCAGTTCACTTTATTAACAAAATGACTATTTAACAGAGATTGCATTAAAAGATTTTCACTGACAAGAGCATATAAGCATGAGAAGAAAGAGTGAAAATGCATAAATTCAGTTACATTTTACATGGAATAATAAATGAAGCAAGGAAATGTGGTTTATATAAGTCAGAAACTAATTTAAAACTGTTTTTAAAGAATAATAAATGATGCCAAATTTTAAATGACATTTCAGGGTTTTGATCCTAATTCAGCATTTTTTACCAAAGTCATTAATAAGAAAAAGAAAGCTACCTCAGGCAGTGAATCAGGTGGAAAGAGAGAGCGATCTAGAAACGGCAGTGACGATGAAACGGAAGATTTAGACCCCGTCGTTTTACGTAGTAGACAGTTAGCAAGTAAGATATCAGGACTTGTACTTAAAATAGCTCAGAAAATCTTAGTAAAAATTTTATCTTTCAAAAATATTTTGGTAAATTTTGATTTAATCGGTAAATAAATGTAAATGAAGAGCGTTTTAAAACAGCATTGTTTGATACTCATTGGTGTAATTTCAATAGACATGTAAATTGAAATTAAATACATTGTAGTGTGGTTGTTTGGTACTGTATGTTATTCAGGAATGCCATTTATTTACATTTACATCTTAAGAAGATCTTGATAGATTTGGATATTCGGAAGTAACAGCACAAACAGTAGTCCCATATCTTTGTTGATTATAACTTAATTCTCTCTTTCCAGTTAAAGGAAATGAAATGGCTCAATTAGGTCATTATAAATCTGCTATAGAACTGTTTACTGAAGCCATAAAATTAGATCCCAATGATTTTAGGTAAGAACCATTTCCAATTTATACAGAATCAAACTCATGCATAATGTTGTCATTTTATGATTTGCTTACATCTCCTTTTTCATCCTTTCGATTTTCTTTCAGTCTCAATTCTTACAACTTTATTAATAAATTACGTTTCTTTTGTTTTACAGATTTTTTGGAAATAGATCATATTGTTATGATCGAACAAATCAATATGATAGGTAGGAGAGCTTTCATGAGTTGTTTAAC